GCTTTCATAATCATTTATACAAATGACAGAAAACTAGGACAATGAGAAGCAAAAAGGAAAATACAGCCATCATGCACCCAGTTGCTTTGAATAGTTTGCAGAAAAAAGTGTTTTTCTCCATGGCAAAGAGTTGTCCTCACTTGCAGGCCTAAATCAGGGGATCACAACCTTCCTGAGGTGGGACAGGATGCTGCTCCCAGAGCAACACAGTTCAGCTCATTGCTCACACTCCTTCTTGGCTCTCTCACTGCCCCAGGACAGTTCTCTGAGCCAGAGGTGTATTCTACATACATTAAAATATCATGTGGTTAAGAAGATAATACCCAAAAAGATATTCTTCAAGAGGGACAGGTGTCCAGTTCTTTACTACCTCCCTGTCCTTCCTGCACAGCACAGTTTGTCCCATCTGAGGGGATTTGTGGTGCTCTGCATGAGGGGCAGCTTGCAGGAGAACCTACAGCAGCTCCTTTCATTGCTGCTGCTCTGGGAGCATTTACATTAGGTAAGAGTAATGTTGGTCTTTGAAAATAAGCCATAAAATTGCTATGAAAACTTGTTTCTTCTGTGTACATTCTAAATTTCTACCTGCATGGGGATGTCGACTCCTGTATGCACAAACAAGGCAAGAAGGTACTGAAAGAAAATCCATTTGTTCCAACACTTCCCCCACCCTCCTTCTCTTTTCAATACAAATTCAATCCTCAGTGTACAAGGAGGGGTGAACTGGTGCAGCACAAAATAAATGGAACAGTTTCATATCACTGAGACTCTCCAAAAGGCGGAGTCCTTGTGAGACCGAAGCCTGTAACACTGAGAAGGACAGACTTTACAGTCTGCTCCCTGTGCACCAGAAACACATTTCCTTTCTTGGCTCACCCAGCCCCCAGAATAAAATAAATAAATAAATAAATAAATAAATAAATAAATAAATAAATTTATGGAGCAACACGTCCAAGAAGCAGCAAGCAGAAATGCATCCCAGAGGGGTGCTAAAGCATATAATAGCTGTATTTGTCTTCCTGCATATGCCTCTGGTACAAGACTACAAAAAAAGGAGGCAGGATCATTTGTTGTGCTCAGGTTTTAAGAGATTTCTGAGTAGATCTGTTAAGTTTGCATGATGTTAACAAAACCTACCTGAACACAGCAGCTTTTGCCTTTCTGGGAGAAGAGTCTTTTTTACCAAAACAGCAGAGAGGCACTTAGGAGGGGGTGATGCAAGTGAGTATGGATTTTACTTCAGGATAAATTCCAGGCAACTTTTCTACCTCTTCCTCTTCCTTGCCCAGCCACATACAAGCTGGGTTTTTTGTTATTTCAGAACAGATTATAGGGATTTGATCATTCAGTGCTCATATTACTGCCTCAAGCACTTGCACCACCACTGCCTTCAGAGGGAGGTGTCCAGCCAGGGTAAATCATAACAGCCCAGAGAGGCTGCCATAGGATGAAGGAGGTTTGCTGGAACAAACACATTTTCCCTAAGAAAGATTGGATGGGGGGATGCTGTGAATATGAGAACAGCAGACCTGGAGTTTGTGGATCAAAGAAAGTCAGCAGAAGATATAAAGAGATGAAAATGTTTTTCTTTGTTGCTCTGTGTTTGATATCCAAACTAAAAAAAACCAAAAACAACTGAACAAAACACCACAGAAAGTACTAGTGCAAATCATTCAATATTTGCATCTTCTCATATTGCTGAGACAATGAGAGTCTCTAAAATATGTTTTAGGTGACACTGTTATGGCATTGGAGTTAAGAACATGCTTCCCTAAAGGAAACTTGGTGGGTTGCTGTCTAGAGACTTCACTCTTGAGTGTGAGCATGATATAAAACAGGGAACTGCTGACAAAGAAACAAGACTTACTCTTGGGACATCCAAGTTTTATTCTCCAATTTCTTCAAGCAAATTATTTCTCATCCATTTGTTATGCCTTTCTCAGCATGACTGGAAGCTTTTAGGGCTGTAGACTTCCTCAGCAGTTACCCAGCATAATGGCACCCCAAGTTTTTTTCAGGGTCTTTGGCTAACTCTGGCACACAGAGGTCAAACAGTGTTTATAAGGAAGGTTCTCTGCTGGGAGGCTGAATACAAGAAAATTAAATGAGAACTCAAATGTATCCCAAGTGCTACCAGTTCACAGTCTAAAGGAAAAAAAAAAAAAAGAAACCAAACTGACTGGATCAGGCCAAATACCTCTGCCTGGTTTTTATCCTTTAACTGAAAAGAAAAGCAATCTTTGCAAAGTGATAAAGCCACCCAAGAATGGCTGCAGTTGTTTCTTTTAAACGAACCAGAGAGAACAGATGGTGTCCTCTCATACTGTCACAGAGGTCAAAGTTAGCCACCTCTAAGACTAGCAGGTTCTTGAAATGCTCAAACGCTCATGTCTGGTCCTTATGACTAATCCACTCTCCCAAACAAGAAAGGTCAAATGAAGAACACCCCTACAAAAACTGCAACTACTCCAAGCCATGGCTGCTGTGTAATGCACTCAGACATGGTGTCAACAGCTGCTCCTAAAACACAGTGAGTCAGCCTTTCAAAAGAGCATGCCAGCTCTCACTGTTAGAGCTTTCATATGGATTACATTTACTCCCCAGTGTTTAAAAATATCTTGCTTAAACATTGAAAATATAAAATGTTTCCCTTAAAGATTTTGTCCCTTTTGCCCAGGCAGCTGCCCAAGAACGTCTCATGTATTTATTTGGGAGCAAAACATCAAAACATCCTAGCCTTTCTTCCACTTTCCTTTTCTCATGCTGACAGCTAAACCAAAGGAAGGCCTCTGTTTTCTGAAGTCATGTACCAATGAGGAATTTCTGGTCCCTTTCACAACTTATGCCTCTGAACCACAGTCAGCCTTCCAGAGAGCTGTGGGGTCACGAGTTCTGCCCAGCAGACAGGGCACAGAGACAGTGGGTGACTCTCCTTTGGTCCTGTAACAGGCATGTGGGTACAAACCCCCTATCCATCCCCTACTCTAATCACCAACCTCCCTTGGATACTGTCATTTCAATAAAAAGGCCTATTGGCAATGAGAGGTGAAGAAAGCAGCCCAGGCATGAAATGCACTCTAAAGTATATTAATAGAAGGTTGCCAGACGAAACGGCACAAGGCATTTGATCGCATCATCTCAGGCTTGTTGTTCATGCTCCTTTGCATCTGGCTGTGTGATTCCTGCCAGATTCTTGGCTGGAGGAGCAGAGGAGGATTTGTCTGCCTTCCCTAACCCGTGCCGGGCTCAGCTGCAATCACGCAGAGTGCTGAAAGAAATCCCTTTGAGTTGGGATTCATTCCGAACATGTAAAACCCAAATGACTGCTTCTCCAAAGTGAATCCCATTTCACAGCAAGTAGGTTATTAGTGTGGAACTCCATACAAGTAGCCTGCATTCAAAAGCCCTCTGCATTATTAATAGAAGATGAGCTTTTGACATCAAAGGAGAACCATTATGTATGCTAAACGGTGGCAAAAATTGTACCCGCACTTCAAACCTTTTCAGCGCTTTGTCCCTTGTAAATCAATCAAGGTTGACAGATGCTTTAAGGAGAGTAATCTTTTCAATGATACTGTCAATGGATAACATAATGGAACATTGTCTCTGTGCTGTGTGAAGACATGGAGCTAGTCAATTATGGACAACACTTCATGCAGCCGCCAGTTTTCACTTGAAGTGCTGCTGTTGAAGTATTATAATCCCAACAAATGGCCACAGCAGCATACAATGTAAATGAGACCTCCTGAAGCTTTGGAAAATTCATTAGTAACAACAGTGGTCCATTCCCACACTTTCAAACACCAGCCTGGTAATGTTAACGATGCACTTCCCCCCTTCCCTTTGAGCAGGCAGTAGGGCATATTTACATACACTATTTTAAACCTTCAGCACATTTTTCCCCCAATTTTGGATTCCTTTCCTCTCTTCACCTGATATTTTCAACGAGTCACACAACCCACATGGCTGGAGGCTGGAAACAAGAAAACAGACCTTCCTACTTGGGGACACATCGTCACTTCACACATGTGAGACATTGGAAGAATGGCCTGGAGGGATGGCAGGGGAAAAGCTTCCAGCCTCAATGCACCCAGTGCCAGTAGCACCTGGGTGGAACTCTGCTCGAGAGTCAAAAGGGAGAGACTGTGCTGTTTATTTAGCTATTGGCTTCTATTTCCTGCATCATCTTCTCAAGGATTTTCCCTTTGTCAAGCAAGGCTTGTGCTAAGAGGAACACTTAATCTCCCACAGTAGCAGAGAGAAATCCCACACTTGAGCACAGAATCTCTAAACTCCTATCAACTGCAGGTTTTCATTGCTATGATCTGTGAATGCCCCTTATCCCTGATGTGTTTTTGAAACAACCAGGTGCACACCACAAACTCAATCACTGAGGGTAAGAACAAGCTCTTCCTTGAACCCAACTTCCCCTTTCCCACTCTCCAAGCTGTAAGTATTGGGCAATTGAAAATCCTCTTGCAGAACAGTTTTCTATGGTAATATCAAAGAATTTCAAAATTATACATTCTCTTTGCCTCAACTTTCAACAGATGTTATCTAACCTTTTCTTTCAAGCTAAGTAATTTTATTTCTATTTTCTAGCATATTATTATTTAGAGTCTACAAGTAAAATTTGTGACAAATTAATACAAGCATTGGAACGATAAAGTTGATCCATTTGATCAAAAGACAAAAGATCTGACATGGTGTGCCAGTAATTCAGAGCCAATGGTTATTACACAGAAGATGAAAAACCTGCTTTTGTTCATGTGTCTGATGACATACATAAGATCGCAACTTACCACTGCTGGATAAGGTCAATTTGAGAGGGAAGATGGTAGCTAATAATAAAGTTTTTAAGTAAGCTTTTATTCGTACTGAAATTAAATTCACTCATTTAAGTAAAGCCAGAGATTTATCATAAAGGCAAAAAAGAAAACCCAAAAAAACCCCAACAACACAAAAAACTAGGAGAAGATAATTAAGAAAAACTGACTTACATAAGAGAAGTCTTCAGCATTCTGACAGAGTAGCTTGGGAAAAACAGCCTGTCTCTGAAATCTTTCCTCATCCTCGAAGATGTTCCCATACATGAAGCCATTCATCATGGTGGAGTGGGCATGGATGTCGATATAGAACTCCAGGTTAATCTTCTGTTGAGGGAAAACAACAACAACAAAACATTCAGCATGAGATAAATCATAACTGAGTTATGCAGGTGAAGCCTCCCATAAATCCAGTCCTGCTGTTCTTGAGCCCATCCATGGTGCCAGCACCAGGGAGCCATGCTGAAGATCTCTCTGTGATGCACACAACCTTCCTGCCTCTCTGTGGGGGCATGTGAAATACAGCAAAGAACCATGTCAGACATTTCTTTGCCTTTTTTGAGAATATTGGAACATGCTACACAGGACACTGTGCAAAATAGAGCCAAACCATCCTTCATTGTGACACAGGTCTTACTGCCAGTGATAAAAATATGCACCTTCCAGTTCTAGAGCACGATTATTTGGGCATAACTTTGCCATCTCTGCACAGTTCTGCACTGAATTATGCAGATGTTCCTTTCTGCCAGGTGAAACAGGCTCAAAATTGTGTAAAAAAGACTCCAGTATTTCCTGTGCAGTTTATTTCTTGTGTAGAAGGAGAAAATACTGCAAATGTTTTGTCTTCCTCTCCTTTCCAGCAGTAACTCAACTGAAAAACTCTCCAAAGAAAGTGCCTGGAATACCCCTCTGCTTGTGCAGGACTCTGCACCAACTCTTGCTTCAAAAGAAGACAGCAGGACCCCCTAGCACAGGAGTGCCTGCTCTGCCCACACCCTTCCCATGGCACCAGTGGGAAAGAGGGAATGTTCACCTGGATCCCTGCCCACAGTGCCATCAGCAGCACTGTCCAGCACTAAAGAGTGATACCAGAGCAGATGCCACAGAATCACCCAGATTACCCAAATTCCTACAACTTCTGGACCTGAACAAATGAGGTGACAAGCCCATCCCTGTCACCTGGCCAGCATGTGTCCATTGGGGCTGTCCTGGTGCCTAGATCTCAGATATTCCTGCCTCAGCAGAGGGATGGAGAAGAGCTCTGTTGACAGCAGGATGCTCATGAAGCTTCTCCCTGTACTGAAACACATCAGGGAGCTCTGCAGCCCCAGTCTCTCCTGCACACAAAGCTTGCTGGGCTGCTGGGGAGCACTGAGCCATGGGGCACTCCAGTGGGACAGGAAGGCAGGTTGGGCTGGGCATCATTTGGTATGTGACACTAATATAATACAGATTTACTTTCCCCCTGGCAGAAAACCAGTGTATAATACCCAGCAACTGTTTAGTTTAATTAAACAACCTAGAGAGAGTAATAATGCATCTTATTAAGCCTCTGCTATGTTAAAATGTTAGCTAATGTAATATCAATATCTGACCATGCTTCATAGGAAAGGGAACATTTGATTGTGTTTGACTCTAATACAATAAATTGTTTGCTCCTGCCAAAACATTCTGCTGTGCTATAGAGGACCAGCCCTGCAATAAAGCACACATCTGCTATTTGGAGATACAGCACTGAGGAGAAAGATTAGCATTGACAGGATGAAACACCACACAGGATTTTCTTCCTCTCCAAGCATACAGAAATTAAAAACCAAGATTAAGTAATACTATTTTCATGAGATAATTTCCCCATCACAAACAGAATTTGATGAGATCAGATGCACACTGGCATATCACCATAAAACAGAACATCTTGTAGAGTCTCAAAACAGTGATTTGATGAAGTGAGCAGATAATCTAGTTAAACTGGGTATTTGTAAAGCATGAATGTCCTTCACACAGAAGTCAGTGACCTAAGTCATACTTATTTTAGAACAACCAGACAGAATTCTTTATAGGAACATAGCTACTAACATAAAATAATCGAGAAGCACAGTGAGATATATAACAATGGACTGGAATAATTTGTGACTTAAGACAAATAAAATTGCTGGTGTAAACTGCAGGATTTGTGGTATGTCATGGTGTACTTATTAATTCATAGTTTTCAAGTTGTTTCCAAAAGAAGGTGGCCACAAACAGAGATGCAGAGGCATAGATTACTAAAATAATTTTCCACAGGCTATCCAGCAAGAAATTCACCTGCAGAACATGAGTGACCTGAGCCTCAGCTTAGTATTCAATTATCAAGCTATCCAGTCTAACACGGTGTCACTGGAGTATTTTCTAAACTCTCCTAGGACCTTCACTCAAAAAAAAATTGGTGGTAGAAGTGTCACAGAGAATATTAGAAAGTGTCCTGGTGTGCTGAAATTTCCTTGAAGATCTTTTTTGTTCACCAAAACCATTTTAATATAATCTGGTTGCAGTGGTTATTTTGAGGGAACAATGTCCTTCACAGATGTCCCCTTCGCCTAAAGATTAAGCTTCCAGATCCTTTATTTGGAAGCTGTGACATTAAACAGGTAGCTCATCACCCAAATAAGTGTTCAAAAATATTTTTCAAGTCATTCATTTCAAATTAATTAAAAAGTAATTTTCTAAGTTAGCCCACAATGACTATTCAACTGGAGTTTTTTTCTGGTCTTTGTTCCTTAGCCTCCAAATGAAGATATAAAAATCTCTATTTCACATATTCTTGTGCACTAAATTTAGTCCAAACTTGCAACTGCCCATCGTATTCAGCATGTTTTTAAACATTGCTAGAGTAATTGCTAATTAGACGTACTACTTCCAGACACTGCTGTGTGTGAGCAGAACAGCATTTCAGTGGTTCACATTTCTCCTCCTCACATTCATTACTTTATCAAAGGGAAACATGTTCAGCATTCTCCATTACAAAGCAAAATAATTCAGTGCATTGTTGATATAACACATGAGTTTCTAATAGAAAAAGTCCTTTTATTCCCAGACACAAAGTTATTGTGGCCTTAAAATGGACAATGACAGCCGCTAGGACATTAAAAGTTTGCCACCTCATGCCTCAAGTGGTGGCAAGCAGGAGACAATTTGTTGGCACTCAAGCTTCACAAGAATTATGCTATGCTCCTGAACAATAATAGTATTTCTGCTTCCTCTTTAGAGTCTTGGATATTCATAGGTGCTTTACATGTAGGAACTGTTTCCCCCACTGCCACATAAGCAAATTTAAGCAGGGGAATAAAGTTTTATATTTCAGTTGAGGTTCTCTGGAAGATTTTGACATAATTACTAATCTCCAGCAATTCAGGTAGGCTCACAGAATTAACATTTTATGGAATATATAATGTCACCTACTGATGGCAATTTCAGCAAAGTCAGCAGAGAGGTGACCTCCTGAAATTGTTGCTCTTGGAGATAGGAGAACTTTAGTGGGAGAATGAAGTAAATAAACAAATGTTTGCATTTACATGAGCACATGCAAACACACTTAACCCCCTGCTCTCTGCTGCCATACCCCAGGGGTATCTGCCAATATCTGCACACCACAACGCAACCCCACCAGGGCTTCTCTTGCTGCAGCACCTGCAAGTGAGAGGGGGAATAGATTCAGACGTGGTTCAAAGTCTCATATTCACATTTTCTCTATGCAGAAAATAACGAATAACTAGGCTCAAACAGCTCTGGATGCCACAGCTGCCTTCTGACAGACTTACCAGTTCCATCCTACAATATGATATTAAACTCATCATTTTCTGCTTTAGAGGTAGAATGCAAAATGATTCAGATGCCTTATAAAAGTCATCATGCAATTTAATTCTCTCAAGTGCCTTTTCTTTGTGCTTACAAGCAGTGGCAGACTTTTCCTCTCTCACAGTGTTTCTTAAGTAAAGCTGTAATTACCTGGATGACCCAGGTTACAGAGCTCCAGAAAACAAAGGCAGGCTTGGTCTTTCTTTTCTCTGAGTCTCAAAACAGAAATCACTTACTAGACTGACAGAGACAATGATTGAACCCCACTTCTTTGGAAAGGAAAGATTCTCTCCCTTGAGAAGGATGGTTTTTATCTCTTCTTGGCACTTACCATATAAACCTAGCATAAATAAACAAGCAAATGAATTTCTGCTCTAAAGTTCATTTGAATCCCTACTGTTGTGACATGCATTTTCCTACTGAGTCAGTCTGAACATTCTATCAGCTTCAGAAATGTACATATAAATTAGGGGGTGGTGAAAATGAAAGAAATCATGAATTAAGAAAAAGAACTCGCATTGTCAAGAGAGGAAATAGTTAAAGTAGTACAGAAGCTGGTTCATGATGGCACAGAAAACGTTTTGAGAAAATATATTCTCACTTGTCTGCATTTTTATTTCCTTCACTGAATGCCTTTTGGAAGGTCAGTAATTAAAGAGTAAAAGGAAAGAACTATGTTAATAGCCAGTGCTGATGTGATCAAACTTAGACTTTGACCAGTGCAATTATGATTCTTAAGAAAACAGAGGTTTAATAAATAAATAAATAGAAGTCAGTAAATGCTGTAATAAAAGGATAAATGTGCATTGAGCCCAGAACATGAGCCACTAGAGAGACAAGTGATGCAGGAAGAAGCCAGCGCTGTCCACCAGCTGTCACTTCAATATGGATTTTATTAATTCTTGGGCATAGCAATTGGTTTAGAGAGAGAGGCATCCAAAAGCTTTCTCCACTCCAATATTTCATAGAGGGGATGGGATAAACTCCTTGCAATGTTTTATACAAGCTTCTAAAACCATGGACTGTCATTTGTTGCAAGGAAGGGAGCAGCCTCCAGGCAGATTTTGTGCTCTTGCTGCTAAACCACTGTTTGGAGTAAATGGACATTCAACAGCTGGCTCAGCAGATGGAGTTTGCCCCTTTTCATTCAGAGGACATTCAGAAATTCCCAGAAGAATAGCTCCTTTGATGCTTCCTCAGGTATCTCTCTGAAGAAAAAATTCCTCAAAAGAATCTCTCAAAAGAAAATTTTGCACGTGTGTCTAAGACACCCCTTTTGACACAAACACATTGTTACCTCAGGATTAGCTATTTTGGCAATGCTTACAGTGATGACACCAGAAAACACAGGAGCACAGCGTGCTCCTAAGGAAAATGAAGGAAAACTGAGCATTCGGCATCACATGGCCAGCAGTCCACATTCAGCCACAAAGCAGCATTTCTTCCCCTTTCAGCCCGATTGAATTGGGCCCAGTGCTTTGAATTGCTCCTTG